TATATATATATATATATATAGATGGACAGCAACATGTGTTTGTCCAACCCATATATGCTAATTCGAGCGAGATGGAATCGAACCTGGGACTGAGGGGATGTACGCCTAAGCTACCAACCAAGAGGCCATCAGTTGCGCACATATATAGGGTTTAGGGTTTAGGGTTTATATATATGCCCTTATTTTATACTGATCCTTTTATTCATATGATTGGTTTATACTTTATATATCAAATACTCTATTGCACATTCATTTAATTTTCAGCAAAAAGAAAGGTAAGAACAATATAAGTAACAATTATGATCTGCTGAAACTGTTTTACTTGTACTTCAATTGTTTTGTAGCTTTGCTTGTGTATAATGAAACTCGGGTGTTACTACAGCTCATTTTACTTTTCTTTGTTAAAGAGAGTGTGTGTGTGTGTGAGATATATATATATATACAAATAGATAGATAGACATAGTTTGCTATGCTAGAAATCTTGAAATTGAGAAGGATATATCAAATACTCATTAAACATAAATCTCGAGAGAGATCCTTGATTTATCTCTCTGCCTTTTTTTTGGCATGGGTGTTATAATTAATAATATCCTGATAACGTTTTCTTTTGGTGACTGCTCCTTGTAAATATGTCTTTTGTCAGGCTTAAATTTTTGGTAATGCCTCTATTGGTCAGCTCGGCTATGGGGCGAGTTGATCCTCTGAGTGGGTTGATTTCATGCATGGTTTTGTCAACTCGGTTGTGCTGCTTTTTTGGCTAGTAATCAAGCTGCTTTAGCATGTCAGACATTTGTAAGCTGATCAGCATTGTTGGGTTATTGGCTAGACTTCCTGATTGAGTCACTCGGTTGAATTGATCTCGCCAAATTGCCTAATTGGCTCAGCGAGTTGTCTATCCTTTAAACTTGAATAGTTTTGAGATACATGAAAGGTAGGATGTTGCGATATTTTGTGAAGGATTCTTGGATTTGCATATTCTCTTAACCAGTCTTTAACTTTAACATTCTAAACTGAGGTAGACTGAGCTCTACCATTTATTTCTGGTTATGATATTCTATAATTTTGTAGACTTGATGGGAATTGATAGCCTGTAATCAGAACTTTCATACCAAGGAAAATTACCAAGACACATAAAAATATCAAATTTAATCTCACATTCAATATTTGAAAATTTTATTGAGAATCAGTGATTGACTACCACCATTTTGTAAATATATGAATAAAATTGATGTTTACTTTTACTACTGGATCCAACATTCTTTCAATTATTGTTACTCTGCTTATTTTCAGCTTTTAGTGCCTCTGGTAAACTCCTATCGCTACGAAGGCCCTGAAGTTAATATAAAACTGGCGAAATCGGAGGCCAAGACGCTACATAAAGCCATTTCTGAAAAATCCTACAGCCATGAGGAAATCATCCGGATCCTTAGCACAAGGAGCAAGGCTCAACTAATTGCTACTTTCAATCATTATAATGATGAATTTGGTAAATTCATAAGTAAGGTACGCACACAGCTTTTAATTTCCATGGTTTATATTTTTTGTTCCCACATAAACTCTTTAACTAACATAAACAAGTAGTAGTATATATGCTGTTGTGTAGGGGTGTGTAAATGTTTAACTTAGATGGATCAGTTTACAAATTAGTCGTACAGAATGAAACCGAAATCAAAATTCATAGGATCAAATTGACTAGTTTTGCTAAAACCGGTCTAAATCGAACCGAAATATAATTTGGTTTAATCAGTTAGGTTTGGATCAAACCAAGATTTAGCATTTTTTTTATTTCAAACCAAATTCTAAGTTTCTATTTCACAATTGAATTTTTATTTCATTTTTTATCTCCTCATTATCTCCTTGAAATTAAAACTTTCAACAAAAATAAAATAAATATGCCTTGCTCAATTTATTTTATTTACAAATAAATTTAATTTCCTAATCATATGGTTCCTTTGGTTTAATGAACATTAAAACCGATCGAAAACTTAAAATTGAAATTCAAAATTTTAAAATAAAAGACTGAATTGTTATTTTAAAACCGAACTAAATCAATCAAATGTGTTTGATTTTTAATTTTTCATTTGAACAAACTATACACATCCCTACGATTGTTTGATTGTTCTGGTCTTATAAATCCTGTCTATGAATATAAAATTATCTGTTATTCTTTTGTTTGACATTTCTAAACTGGAAAGGAAGCTTGCATAGATACGAAATTCAATCTGAAAGCAACACAGATCTTCACCTGCATTTCAATGATCTTGTTAAGTCTGAAATTACCTCAAAGATTCAACTGGTTTGGCGTGGCACAAATAAGAACATTAAGATAAATATATGATAAAATTAGAAATGATTGTATTAGTGGACAGTATATTTAATTTATTTGGATATGTGCAATTGAAGGTAAAAAAATATTTCTATTTGATAGAAAAAGTAAATATTACTAATAAAATTGACTTTATTGAAGATACTATGAATGGAAATTATGCACATAGATTTGGCCAAAATGGGTATTGCACTTGGGTTTCATTTGAGATTGCTTGTTTGCAATTTTGCCTTCAAGAAAGCTGCCACTTTTCTTATTTTCCCATATCATTTTTGCTAATTTTTAGGTTAGAAACTGTTTTTTATAGATTGATTTGTTATTGAGTGAAAGTTTTGAGAAAGGCAACTTTTTTTTCTCACCCCCTCGAGGAATAAGAATTATAAATACTTATACTAGTTCTTAAAAAATTCATGAAAAATTTATGGAAAATTTACATATGTGCCTCGCACAATTCTTATGTATTTTCTTATCTACCACTTAAATTTTAATTTTTAAATATGTGCGGCTATATTTAAAAAAAAAACTGTATTTCACTTTTAAAAAAAATCAAAATAGCTATTTTTGATATGACAGAAAAGATTTGGTTAGCATAAATGTAAAAAAAAAACAAAGTTTTGATGTTAGATATGAAAAAACATAGAGATTGGGTGATATGTAGGTAAATGCCCCAAAATTCGTTTACCTCATATTTTTCCAGTCGAAACAAATGGAGTACGAGGATTTATACAACTGAGTACCTATAATTACTACAAAACAAATGTTGATAGTGACAACTTTTGTTATTGGGATTAGGGGTGTAAATGCTCAGCTCGTGTTCGGCTCGTTTATATTTCGAGCTCAAAAGGTGTGTTCGTGCTCGGCTCGTTTGCTTAACGAGCCGAACACGAGCTGTTCACGAACAAAGAGTCTTTTTAACAGCCCTAATCACGTAGCCATACGACGATATGAGTTTGAACAAGATTTAAAAATTATTATTTATATTAGAACATCATTTGAATCTAATTTAAGATTTTTTATTCTATTTTCTTAATCAATATTTTAATTGATTATAAATCTTTGTAGCCTTGTAGTCAATTAAATTTTTTTTAAATACTACTTTTATACATATATATATATATATATATATAAACTTGATGATTAGTATTTCGAGCCGAACACGAACGAACACATCTTAGTTCGTGTTCGGCTCGTTATAAGTTATGGAACGAAATTAACGAGCCGAACACGAGCTTCTTAACAAGTCGAACACGAGCTCTGTTTGCGAACAACAAGCCGTTTTGCCAGCCCTAATTGGGATCACTTTTAATTATTTCTTTTAATTGCATATGTTTTTTGTATATATAAATTTTCTCAAACAAATCCTAAACTTGTGATAGCTAGTGCATCTCCATCATGTTAATTTATTTTTCGCAGGATTTGAAGCATGATTCCAAGGATGAGTTTCTCGCCGCTCTAAGAGCAGTTATCCGATCTATCGTTTACCCAGAACGATACTTTGAGAAAGTCCTGCGAAATGCTATTGCAGGATTGGGAACAGATGAAAACGCGCTCTCTCGTGTAATAACTACACGCGCTGAGGTTGATCTGAAAGAGATAGAAGCGGCCTACGCCAAACGAAACAGCAAGTCTTTGGACGCAGCAATAGCCAAGGATACATCTGGAGATTACGAAGCTTTTCTGCTTGAACTTTTGTGATCGGAGTAGATAATGAGAACTGAAAACACTGTTCCAGTTCTGATTCTGGCGACGAACTTTATTGTGTATTATGGTGGAACGAGGACTTCTTTTATTATGAGCTCGAAATAAATTGCCAGGTCATGCCGTTTTTTCTTTTTAAGATAATTTTTACATGTGTACCACTGAGGTTTTGTTTGGCGCTCCTTATAAGCAGCGTTTGGCATTTTCATAAGGCCAATCCACTGTTTGTTTCATGTGTTGGCATGGCTTTTCCGGACGAAATAAATTGCCAGGTCATGCCGTTTTTTCTTTTCAGGTTTTGTTTGGCGCTGCTTATAAGCAGCGTTTGGCATTTTCATAAGGCCACTCCACTATTTGTTTCATGTGTTGGCATCGCTTTTCCGGAAACGGCGTTTGGTTTCTTTTAATACACACGGCCATGTGATCAACCCCACGACCTGTGTTTTCAATCTGCGTTTGTTGGTTTTTTTTCCTCCCATGCCTTTCAGTCCGTTTCCTTCGTGCTCGGCCGCTATTATCCTAGGTCACTCCTCCCTTGCCTCTCCTTCAGTTGCTCTTATCGACAGATCCCAGCTGGTATCTTGCAATGTTATGCTATAATATTCATTTTAGGGGGTTTTTTCGTTGCACTGGTTATCTCTGCATTTTTCCGATTTTGTGGATTTTCTTGGATAATTTCTTTGCGATAATTTATGTTTTTAGGTTGACCATGCTCAGTTTCTTAAGATTCTCACAACTCTTTTGAGCTAGGCTTCATTTGCTGCATATAAATTTTGGCTAGAGGTTCGGGTGTATATGTGACTTCCACTCCACCCTTAATGACTCAACATTTGTAAAACTGAGAATGAGAAAATTTTGTTTGAGAAAATACACCCGTGGCTGGAAATCAGTAGCATTGACAATAATTTGAAACCATAGCCACATTATCTCAAGTAGGAACCAACTTAGAAAAGAAAAAATGAAATCATAGCCACACAACACTACTGTACAGGGGCGGAATAGTCATTTATCCAGAAACGACTGTAAATCAACTGTTTTTCAAATGTATAAACCAAACAACCAACCAATTTATCTGAATCAGCTGTCGATCAACAGCTTATCTGGACAGCTACTTAGCAGTAAATTATTGATAAGCTGCAGCTGCTTCAAATAGACCCTGAATTATTATGTATTTACATATATAACACCTAAACATTAATATTTAGTTATATGTTAGCTTGCCTATGCATTGAAAAGAGTATTTTATTTTAGAAGTTAAAATAGGGCTATGTTTTGATATGATGTAAAAATATTTAAATGTAAATGTAAAAAATTAAAGTTTAGTTGGTAGGTATGTAAATACATTAGAATTGGGTGATATGTATGTAAATGCTCCTTTTTCTATTATTTCCAGTCTCCTCTCTCTCTCTCTCTCTCTCTCTCTCTCTCTCTCTCTATATATATATATATGGCATTTTTTTAAGGTTGTGGAGAGTTAAATCAGCTGGATCAATTTTGATGTCAAAGGTTTTGAATGCCAGGTTAAAGTCAATCATTTTCCTTGGTTTCATTAAAAAAGTGGCATGACTGGTTTCAAGAATTGATGCGTGTTAGAAGATTCGTATTTGTTGTTGTAGAGTAGTAAATTATTATTTTAATGTTATATAAGATTCTAGCATATACTTAGATGAAAGAAGATAATCAATAAGGACACATGAAGTTCTTACATAAAAAATCTGAAATGTGAAAAAAACTATGAGGTTCTGGTAGGTTAAAATATTCCAATATTAGTTAGTGATTTCAGATATTGATTTCTTGTTCCACAGACAAGAAATAATTACTCAGTTTCTCATATTATAATATTTGTGTTCGGAAAAAAATTATTGTTATGCACTAGTGAGCGGGGCGGTAGCTAATGGTGGTTGACGGTGGCATGGCGAGTGGCGGTTGGAGTTGGCCGAAGGCGGTGGCAAGTGGCGGTAGAAGTTTCCCGAAGGCGGTGTAGGATGTTGGGTTGCAATTCTCTCTTCTACAGGCTCTAGTCTTCCTTTTGCCTAAGGTCTAGTCGTCCTCTCATATGGGGGCTAGTGTTCAATTGATGAATTTTAGGTTGTAAATAAGAAAGAAAATTAGACCACCCTTGATCGGACAACCAAGAGATCTCATTGATCCGACAACATTCGATGGATATTTTAGTGCATTGATGATGTCAAAATTGAATGCTCCAAGACTCATTGGATTCTTCTTGACGAAATGCTCGATTTGACTATAAATATGTCATATTCGAAATTCTTTTAACATTTCAATTATGTGTGAAAAGATTCTACAAATAGTTTAACAACGTGATTTTGAATTGACTTAACTCGGATTGAATCTATTTTTGTACTGTTTCCGTCTCATTGAGCTATTTGTTTGATAGTTTGTTGAAATTGAAATTCTATATGACTTTTAATCAAAGTTTGAACATTTCGTGCTTAAAAGATGTCTTAAGACCCATGTCATGCCTCGAGATCTATGTTATGTCTCGTCGAGTCAGATGTAACTAGAAGTTGTACTAGTAGTAGTTGGTCACAAATGTTGTAGTTGATTGCTACAAAGATGATCATGAAGGTTGTAGTAAGTGATTACAATAGTGACAGTTGAGCTCAGAGACCATAGTTGAACAGTGTAATAATAGTAGTGTATTATAATGACCATGGTTAATGATTAATCAATTCTCTCATGAAGAACATATATACAATTTTACACGAAATATTGAAATTGTCTTTATATAACGTAAAGAAAAATACATATGTTATGAACAACTGTCATATTCTATCTACAACAATCATAAAGAATGTGGTAGCTGATGGCCAGAGTTTGATGGAAGTAGGTGATGAGGATCAACAATGTCCAATGGGGGTGGTGGTTGATGTGGTTGGTAGCTACGAAGGCAATAAGTTATCGCTTGGTCTTCAATACTAGTGTTATGCATTACAACAATATTTTTTGATATGACATTTGTAAATATGGATCATAGATAGTGGTCGATGGTGGCAATAGGCGGCGGCGCTCGATGGTGGTCAGTAATTATGGAGGTTGAAAGTTATCGTCTGATCTTCAATACATATTTCATATGTTATAGTCGTCTTCGTGATACAAAATTTTCAAATATGGGTCACTAGCGGTGAGTGATGGTCGACAGTGGTCGATATGTGATTGTCGATGATGGTCATTGGCTATAGATGAAGAAAGTTATCGTTGTGTCTTAATTCAAGAACGGACTATGGAATTCCTCTTCTCTTCCTTTCAAGTGACAAGAGGGTGTCTATTTATAGGCTTTGGGAGAGCAGCATTTTGGAGAAGAACTTCCTCAGCCACCTGATCGGACGACCTATATTGATCATCCTTGATCATATGAGTTTTTATAACGATTTGGGCTCCTTAATGACCTTGTAATTTAGCGAGCTCAGACCCATCAGATTCCTCTCATTGAAAAGTTCTATTTGAATATAAATATGTCAAATTTGAAGTTCATTTGACCATTCAAATGATGATCCAAAGCCTTCAAATGTACTTCAATGGTTTGATTTGGGCTTGATTGAAACAGAGCGAACCAATTTTGATATCATTTGGTTCGTCTTATCTAGACATTTAATTTGATCATAAACTTACTGAAATCGGGGCTCTGATGATCTTGAGTTTAAATTTGGAATGTTTATTGTCAAAAAATGCATTGAGATTTGTTCTAGAGGATAAAAGTTTATTGATGAGGCATTTTAAATTCATTACCCCAAGTCAACTTTTTAGTCCAAAATACATTACATGATACCAACAAAGTAGAACTAAGAAATAGCATGGATGTTATCAAACACTTCATCCGGACCACTTAACAAGATCACAACCGCGCATCAAGCGAATGATAGTCTTCGCTTGATGTGCGGCTGTGATCGGAGAGCGCAGGGGGGATCTCTCTATATCTTTATCGTTCACAAATGTAGTTTTTTTTTTCTTTTTTTGTCGTTTGGGGATGGGCCCACCTTCTGACTATTTGGGATGTAAAGGGAAAAATGCAGTTTAGATTCACGATACACAAGCAACTTTTTCCCTCGCTTAGGGGTGGGCTAACTACTTGTTGTAAATCTCTATCTTTTTATTTTGGAAATCATTCTATATCTTTACTACAAACTACTTCAAACTCTTTTGTTCTCTTGTGAATCATTGTTAAGAAGGATGATGATGATGATTTCTGAAACTTCGATTTTCTTTGGTAAAGTGGGCATTTCGTTTTGCGCGTGCTCTTTTGCATGAATTTATTGTTGTGATATGTCTGTGTATTTGATGAATTTTGTGGCTTGGTTTAAGTTTATGAGTAGTTTTAATTTACATTGTCATTGTCGGGTCCTAAGATTATGATGTGAGAAGTGAAGGGTTGTGTTAAATAGTCGACAATCAGTGTAAAATTTATCAAAAAATCATGACATGAATCCTTTTGATCATTGTGTAAATGCTAAGGCGTCCACTGTAAGTGACACGCTGTATGGTTTGAATACAGTGAAATGTGTGCAATGCTTGTTATACCGACACCTGGGTGTAGTGTCAAATAAGCAATGTTTCTCACTTTATGGACGGATGAGAGTAAATAAGTTAGTCTGTGTAACTAATATTAGTATTGAATCTAGAATATATGAATCTTGGAAAGTAAATTAATGGAACTAGTTGATAATTATGATCATAGAAAAATAAATATCTTATGTATTCAAGAAACTAAATGGGTTGGAGGAAAAGCTAAAAAGATTGATAATTTATTAGAGGAAAAGCCAAGGAGATTGATAATTTATGTTTTAAACTTTGGTATTAAGATAAGAGTCGCACTAGAAATGATGTAAGTGTAATTATAAATAAGATTTTGAAAGATAATGTTGTAAAAATTAATAGAATTGGAGATAATATTATAGCATTTAAGATTATTGTTGATACTAAGATTTTTAATTTTACAAGCGCTTATGCTCCTCAAGTAGATTTAGATATATGTTCTAAAGAAAAATTATGGAATGACCTAGAAGACTTAATACAAATGATACCTTTTGAAGTAAGAATTTTTTGTTGGAGGAGATTTAAATGAATTTGCAGGTAGAGTGGTAGAAGATTTTAGAAATATTCATGGTGGGTACAGTTTTGTAGTGATTAATGAAGAAGGTAGAAACATCTTAGATTTTGCTTTTGCGTATGATTTTATTATTGCTAATACTTTATTCAAGAAAAAGATGAGCATATTATTACTTAAAAGAATGGATCTAATGAAACAAAAATTGATTATTTTCTTATGAAAAGAAGAGATCTTCGAGAATGTAAAGATTGTAAGGTCATTTCAACTAAGGATTTAAGTACTCAACATTAAATATTAATTTATTATTATGAATGTTTTTCATGCATGCATATTATGAAACTATGGGGTTTGATTCATATATTTCATTACTTATGACCTCTTTGAATACTTTTTAAATTTGGAGCATAGATTGGAACTTCAATTGCTAGAGTGATGTGAGTTTAATGTTACATAAAATTTATATGAAATTCCTCTCTTCATCATCCATGCCTGTTTATGTAAATTTTATGTTTTCTTGTCTAAGAAAATACAGATGCTATAAATTAGTATTTATTTGATGTCTAAAGAACAACATCTTCTTGTGAATGTCTAATTTTCACCTACTTATATTACATCTGCTGATTGATATATTATTTTGATTGTAATACGTGTGTAAATGTAAACAAAATCAAATAATTTTTTCTTAAAAAAATGTGTTATATCACTACTTATGAGCAGCACTTGTAAGTGTTCATAGCTTCGAAGATATCACAGACCTTATAAGTGTATCTATATATAGATATAGATATATAGATATATTCATATAAACACCTAGAGCATTAAGGAAAATATGAATTTAGCCACAGCTTAACAATAACAAAATCATCAAAAGCATTTTACGAAAAAGTTAAATTTAGCCAAAGCTAGACAAGACACCTACGGCATTTAAGGGAAAAAAAAAAGGCACAGCTACACAATAACAAAACACTGTATCCACATCTTACACCCAACAAAATTGCATAAAAACCCCTATAAAATACTAACCTGACAACAACATATCTCAGAAAACATAATCACTACCAACAAAAAACAAAAAGCAAAAAGGAAAATTGCACCTCAAATTCCTGAGATCATTTTATTAATCTGCTTGAAATATGGGCAAGATTTTAGCTGTTCAGCATGAGGACGTATTGCTTGAACAATTAAAGAATGAAGAACACAATCCTGAAGAATAATAAAAAAAAAAGAATTAGAAATTAAAAAGTGCAATTTATAAAATTAAAAAAAAAAGTGATATATATTAATTACCTTGGTAACTGTAAGAGCACTTTGAATGACGTAATTAGCGTAAGGATCTTCCAGTAATTGCCTGAATTCTGATGAGTAGAGTAACTCTAATATAAGCTTAGTTCGATCATCATCTTCAAAGACTTCGATACACTTCTCAACAACATTGCTACTAAACTTTTGCTTTGACAAATCTACATAATTTCCTTTAAATTGCAATATCAAATTTGCATTTGCCGTCGGATTGTGGAGATCGAGTATAAATTGCACAGTATAATTCCTGAAATTGCAAAATTAGATGTGCAATGTTGTAAATTAGCAATTAAAGATAAAACAATGAAATTATAGTGATAATCCTGAAAATTCAAAATTATATATGGAATGTTTTGTTGCAAGATCTGAGGGCATTCGTGAAAGACACAAATTGAACATAATGTCAAGTAAGGTGCGTATGCATGGTATTTTCATAAATTCAATCATAATATTGAAGTTTATGAAAAGAAAAGTAAGATTATACTAAGCCATGGTGCAATCATAAGAAATTTGACTGCTCGAATAAAATCATTTACATCTAATTTAAATGAAAATGAAAGAATTAAGAACCGGGTTGGGAATCTTCCTTTCTTTTTTTTCATTTTCATTCTTTATTTTTTTGCTATTGTTTTTTAAGAACATCTTTATTGCCGTGTTTGGGATTATGTGTACTATTTACGTGATTTTATTTTGCGAAATTTAAATAAATGCCCCACAATCCTTATGTATTTACATATAACATTATGGATCATTACTTGTCTCTAATCATCATCTTCCTCCATCGTCCGACGCAAAAAGAAAATAAAAAACATATATCTTTGTTTTAATATGTCAAATATGTTTTATATTAAAATAAAACCTAAATAAATAGAAAATTTAACTTTAAAAGAATTTATCCCAAACGACCCCTAAAGTTTTTATATTCGCTTATGCATTTTCCTGCAAATTATAAATATACGAGCAAGATAAAATTCTTACTAGTTTCAATCATTAAAACTATAATTAGTCACCAAAATGTATAGCAAATTCAAATTTTTAATAGACGAATTCAAACATTAATAGACGATATCCTTCACAATTTTTAAATGTAACATGTCAAAATTCGTAGCAGTTTATGCCAAAAGAGGACAAGGCATAACTTCAAAAACTTGCTACAAATTTCGCACTGTAAGAAATCATTTAAAATAATTTAAAGCCAAGCCTTATAAGTATTGTTAAAAAGGAAAAATCATTTAATTTTCATCAATAATTTCAATACAATAGAAGCTTCTGAAAAAAAAATAAAATCCTAGTTTGGAAAATAAAAATGGAGAATATTAATCGAAGATATCATAAACAGGATAAAATACAAATTATAAAGCAATTTGATTACCCAAAGGCATCTTTGGCGAGATCAAGACCATTTGCAGAAATTTCTGCTATCAGCTTTGTTTGTTGATCCCCACTAGAATGAGTTATACATGCATGTAACACTCTACAGCCATATCGATGCCTAGCGATATCAACACAATTCCTAGCAGCAGTGTCAAAAATGAACTGCAAAATATAAAAATGTATATTGCTGTCAGATAAAAATATGTATATGTCTATGTGTTTGTGGAGTCTATATGTGTGTGTGTGTGTGTGTTTGTGTGTGTGTGTCAATGTATAATAGAATATTATTTGTTTCAAGATAAAATGGGATAAATTTATTATTCACACATAAAATGTGAAAATTTTATCATATTTCCTAAAATATGTTTTTTAATAACAACAAATGAGGCATAACATAGGTGGCAGTTGTGTTAGTCTGTTCTCTGATTAAGGAATTTTAATAATTTATTATTATTATTATTATTTTGGTTGATAAATTGAGATGATGTAAAAATAGAAAATTTACATAACTAGCACCTAAACATCCATATTTACCAGCATTTTGGCGCTTAAAACCTATACATGAAAATGTATATTTCACTTCTAAGAAGTATTAATAATGCTATTTTTTATGTGAAATTACAAAAACTTTTTCATGTATATTTCACTTCTAAGAAGCATTAATAATGCTATTTTTTATGTGAAATTACAAAAATTTAGTGTTATGTGTGTAAATATAAAAGTTAAGATGTGAGAAATGTAAACACATAAGAATTGTGTGCTATTTATGTAAATGCCCCTATAAAAAATGAGGATGAGAGCTCTGTTTCGTGTCAATTATATGTTGAGTCAAATTGAAGTTAAACTCAGTTCAACTGGATTAATTAAGATTAAACCAAACTGAAGCAAGGTTAACTCAATTGGGTTAACTAGTTAAATCAGAGCCAAACTAAGGATCATTTGACTTAATTTGTTTACTAATGCTGAACCAAGATTGTCTGAAGCGAATCAGGTTCAAATTGATCTGATTCAAGATGAAAGTGGTTTGCATCGACTAATTGAGCTAATTTGAGAAGACAGATATATTTAAAATGAAGTAAAAATTATCCATAACATGAACTTTCCTGAGATGAACGAAAATTAACAAATTCAATTAGTTTAAATTAGGTGCATAGCTAAGATTCTTAATTAGCTTGACCCTGCTCTGGAGTAGAATATGATTCTTGAGTAAGATTTTGGTGGGAAAATTCTAACTTTTGCTCCTCTGAATCTTTTGATTCCACTTCAATTTTCATTGTGAGGGCGAATTTGAAGCTAAGGCATGTAAGCATTTAACTAAAAAGAAATATAAAATATAAAGTCTGGTACCATATGCCAAAGATTTTGGGTTTCATGTGAAGGTATTATCCAACTCCGATAACTTTCTTATTGAATTTAAATGTAAATATTTTGATCATATGCGCATGCCACAACTGAAATAAATCAGTATTTAAATGCATAAGAAAATTGATGTAATAAGACATCAAAGAAATAATTAAGGCATCATTAATTAAATGAACATTTTATCAATTTTTTTTGCAAATTATTTGCTCCAAAATAGATAATATTCACGAACATAAGAAAAAGAGTGGATCAATATCCATATAATGAATATATTGAGATTAATTGTTTTTGTTCAAATTTTGGGCTGCAAACTGTCCACAATCCTATAATTGTCTCAAAACATTTCAGTTTTGTGGATGAGATGATGGTCCAGGTTGGGCATTTAAATCTACATATATAACGCGCTTTGATGTTTAATGCAAAAAAATTTGTATTTCACTGTTAAGAAGTGATAATAGTGCTATTTTTGATGTGATAATAAAGATTTGAGGGCTATGTGTATAAATTGCAAAGTTTGTGTGAGATATCAGAACATAAGACTTGTGTGCTATGAATTAATATAAAAGTTGGTGCAATAAAAGTAAAAATTCATTATTTAAGAAACTCATAGAAAATAAACAGACATACCTTGTTATACTCTCCTGTGAGAGAAGTAAGGCAACTTTGAATCACATGGCTTCCATTTACATCCTTGATAAGTTTGACAAAAGTAGGAATGAGAGCTTTAATAAGCAAATTGGCTTCATATCTGGTTTTAATGGTAGCTATAAGTTTCTGCACCGCCCTTGTCCTAACAAAATATAATAAGAACTCCAGTTAAATTCCAAATAATTTAAGATAAACACAATAAGAGAACTAGACATTAAATATTTGATATTTCAGTGCATAACTGCAAAAAGGCAAAAGAGTTACCCATGAGTGTTTATAGCGACCCTAATAAACACATAGGGGTCTTCTGTAAGTATTTGAACAATCCTTATCCTCTGTTGATCAGTGCAGATGCTGATTATCTTCTGAATGAGATAGTTCCCAAAAGGGTTCTCCATTAATCCGATCACATGACCGATGATCCCATTAAAAATTGTGGCGATTTCATAAGCATTTCCTTCATTAATCTTTTGATAAAGAAGACGACAGCCATTCTGGTCTTTGGCAAGATGATAGATAGACCTTTTTACATCAGGATTAGTAGCAGCAGGACTGAGACGAACCATTGCATCCATATGAGCATTAATCTGAGGCGAGCACTTCGCTGCACTAAAGCCAAGCGCATTACTCCCAGCATTAGAAATGTCATTCCCCTGTATGATAAAACTACCCTCACACCCATAATCTTCAGTGTTTCTTGGAGTTATGACAGAGGAATCCTGTGAGTTGAGCAAGTTTAGGGTATTCGGATTGAGCGGAAATCCATTTCGGCTTTCAGTTTCATTCAACGCCTTATTGGGATTTAAAGCATTGGAATAATTAGATGTAGGATACTGAGATTGACAGCTCATTGGGGAAGAACACTGCAAGCGGCAATCTACCCAGGAAGAAGATCCCCTGCTTTTATCGAAAGCCGCAGAGTGAGGGATAAGAGATTTCCGCACTGTTAACAAGGAGTGTGGATAAACAAAGTCTGCTCCAGTAGCAGCAGAGCGAACTCCAGCATTCCCCTCTTGAATCTGTAGAGCTTGGAGTGTCTGTAGAAGCCTGATAGCATACATGTCCTTCGCCGACGCATTACGAGGAAGGGAATCCATTTCCGGTGAACAGAGTTCGGCCTCCGCCTGGGAAGGGCCAAAGGGGTTAGAGTTCGAACCGGAAGAGGATGCGTCTGAAAAGCCAGCAATGTCGCTGCCATAGTTATAGCCAAAAGAGATGGGAGGATCTGACTGATCGGATGAAGAGTTAGGGTTGGAGATGACAATGTTTTCAATGGCGGAAGAAGTCGAGTATTGTGGCGGCGATGCTGGATAAGTATCATCGTCGAGGAGTTCATTAATGAAAATCTCCATCTCCATTCCGGCTGTTGTGGATGGGGATTAGAGACGATCGAGACGGGTGAATTAAGGAGGAGGATTCTTCCGATACAGAGCTTCTTCAGCGAGAGAGAGAGAGAGAGAGAGAGAGAGAGAGAGAGAGAGAGAGAGAGAGAGAGCAGGGGGGGGGGGGGGAGGGGGTTCTTATGCGGCGTAGTCCGGTGAATCAGTTGAGATGGATCGAATTTGCAGCGAGGATGCAGGAACGATTAAAATCGCCGTTCAATTTTATGAACGACTAAAATCCTCTATGAAATTTTAATCTACATAAAACATAAAACAAATAAAGACACACACACACTTACATTGAACAAATTTTTGATATATGCATATTTACTTACATTTTTTAGCATTTGAACCAATACATATTATGAGAAGCATAATTTTAAAAATCGAACTGGACCAGCCGGTTTAAAACCGTGAACATGTGTTTCTGCTCCTTGTCGGAGCAAGAGTCGGTCTTGCAATGAACTGATGTAGAGCTCCTCAAATTGGAAGTTCGACCTAAAACTCTGAAACGTATCCTCGATTTATGAGAACAGTTTAGTTCCAATTTTAAGTCAATCAGTTGTTGTGATTAATTATTGCGGAGTGGTGATAGTGAATTGTAACCATAAACGAGAAAAAAAAATTCCCGCATTGGCTTTCTGTTTCTCTCGGTCGCTCCTCTTGGCATACGATCATTACCTCGCCATCTGTTCACCAGTCGAAGCTCGGCGACATCCATCGGCCGATGCTATTTATGGTGATAGTGCAAGCCTCTAAGGAACTCATAATTAATGCTTTTATTTGTTTTAATCTGATCCTTACCATTTAGGCGAAGCTAACATTTTGATTAAAAACATAATATGCCTAAGTGATTATGATTTGGGATTAGTGATTTTTATAATGGTGCTTAAGTGAGAAAGAGTGGGTAAATTTGCAATGGAATTTTGGTTTCTTTTTTGGGATTTGAGTCCATTTTAGTAAGTTCGGTTCACTTTAGAGAACATATGATAATCGGTTATCTAATACCAAATTATTTGTTTAGGGTTTAGTTATGTGGTTTTGCCTTTAATTAATCTCTAAAGTGTATGTCCTAAGCAACTACATCCTAATATTTATGAAGAGATATTTGAGATTTGGCTTCATTTTTTGGATGTTTGAGAATCTCGTGGGGAAAATTTAGAGGATATGTTGAAGTGTGAAAAGTGGGCGTGCACTTCTTGTTTTGTTTCACCCTTTAGCAAGATGCTTGAATTGTTTGAGAATCTATTTAGAAAAGGTTAGAGGAAGATGTTGAAGTGTGTAAACTAGGCACACACTTCTTGTTTTGTTTCGCTCTTTTGTAATATGCTTGATTGCTTGAATGAGTAATTGTATTTGACTGTTTGTGCTGATCTTAATTGCCAATTTCAATGATATTTCATGTATGGTTTGGCCATATGATAAACTTGTTCGATAAATAGAATTATCTATTTATAATCATAGTTTTGAAAACCAGTGAATCAGGTTTAATTGCTTCAAACGATTGTGTTGGCAATATTAAATATTATGAGTTGAAAGTGTCACTTTTGTATATTACTTATCTAAGGACTTTGAGTTGAGAAATGTTTTTTTAGAGTCTATTTTATTTGTATATTTAAACATTAATTACTTTATTTATCTCTTTAACATGAAAAGCGTAGATTTATATGAAAGAAATGATTCGGGTATTTGCATTATGGACGGGTATATGAAAGAAATGATTCGGGTATATGAAATCGACTTATTAGCTCTTCTCATTGTATTCGTGAGAAAATGGATCCAGTGTGGAATCATTTCACCGAATATAAAGGTTTAGATAGAAAGAAATGATTCAGGTACTTGCATTATGGAACTCTATATAAAGATGGTTGCATAAAATGAATAAAACATCATTTAGCTGGGTTAAAGGCAATCTTGCATCATACAAGAAAGTTCTACATGATTTTTGTAACCAAATACAAGAAAATTTGAAAAGCATATCTTAGTATAAACAAGAACCTCATGAGGACGGAGAAAGTAGACCCAAATGGTGAATCTATTAGTATCAAAGAATAAAATAAATATTCTTCTTCATCTAAATGCTTAGATAAAGGAAAGAGGAACATAGATGAAATTGATAATTATTTTGCTTTTAGGCCTTTACATAGATCACAACCATCTTGAAATATATTTGACCATTCAAAAAGATTGTACAAAAAAAAAATATTTGGCAATTACAAGGTTCTATTTATGCTAAAAATGCAATTGATGCAATAACTGCTGCTAGTCCTAGATATCAATAATCTTCTTGGAATGAGTTAATTGCTAAGATATTGCAAAAAAGAATGTGAGTTGCTTATTAAATGGATTCATAGCTGAAAAGAAACAAGATGCACTTTGGTGGTTGATGGGTGGACAAACACCATGTGTATGTCATTGATATATTTCTTAGTTTGTTGACTGCATGGAGTAACTTTTTTTAGTTCTATTAATGCTACTTGTACTTCATGCTCCTTATTTGTAAAATTTATTGAATGGATTCATCAAGAGAGTATTGTTAAACTAGTGATTGATAATACAAAAAATTAAAAAAACAAAACTTAAGTTATTAAATGAGAAATATTATAATATTTACGCTCCTTATTTGTAAAATTTATTGAATGGATTCATCGAGAGAGTATTGTTCAACTAGTGATTGATAATACAAAAAATTAACAAAACAAAAATTAAGTTATTATATGAGAAATATTATAATATTTATTTATAATATTTACTGGTCTTCTTATATTGTGTATTATTTGAATTTAATTTTGAAGGATATAAATATCATGTCTCATATGATAGAGCTTGCCAAAAGTGCATTGATGATTATAATAGGTATTTACAATCATGTATTTGTATTATCTTGGTTAAGAAAAAGATTATGTTGAATAAAATAGTGTGTAAGAGCTACTCATTTTAACATTATTGTTAGTACATTGAAGGGCTTGCATGAACATAAGCAAAATTTACAAATACTTGCTAATAGTAAGTATTATAGTAACTCAAAATTGGCAAAAAAACACGAAAGGATAACAAGTAATTTTTATCATTTAAGATAAAAATTCTAAAATGATTGCTTGACTTTGTCAAAATTAGTAGAACTACTAATAAGATTGTCATGAATTATTGATTCAGATAAGAAACCATTCTTTGGATATGTTTATGATGGCATGTACGTGGCAGTGAAAGCAATTAAATGCATGTTCGAAAATATAAAGAGATTGTATAAGTCATATACTAGGATTATCAAGAGAAAATGAGATAAAAAAATTGTATCATGATACCACTCGGCTGCATATTTTCTTAATCCACATTTTTAATATGATCAAGAAAATTTCTGTGAAAAGCCTGAAGTTTTGCAATAATTAGTGAACTCATTATTAAAAATATGTATGCATAAGCCTAAATGTGCAATAAATGAAATTAAACTTTTTCAACATAAATTAGAAATGTTTGGGAAGTATATAGCAGTCATGACTCCTAATAAATGTAAGCTCATAAATTAGAAATATTTTGTTATATATATATTAGTCCATTTTTGTTAATGTGTTGATGAATGGTGGAGAAAGTTCGACTCTAGTGCTCCAAATTTGTAAAGATTGACTATTTGCATTCTTAGTCGAACTTCATCATGAACTGGATCCAAAAAAAAATGGAGGGTTTTTGAATAAATTTATACAAAAAGAAGAAATCAATTGAAACATCAAATGTTAAATGATTTGGTGCAGGTTAGATACAATCTTACATTGAGGAAGTGTGTTTTTTTAGTTGAAGTTGTCATGTTAATATATTTTGTTATTATTATTATCTATAATGATAGTCATAATTTATACTATCTTATTAATTTTATAGGTTCCAAGCTAAAAAAAAGGTTAAAATCCATTGGACTACACAATAATTGAGACAATATACTTTTGGATAGTTGACGATGAACATTCTCCTGAGTTTGATTATGATGATATGGAGATTGAATTTATAGAGAGGATGTTATACACGTTTCTTAAGAATTGGATAAGCAACCAACCACTAAGTTTTAAAATATTTTTAAATTGATCATCAAAATGAGAAAATGACCTTATTTATAAAATTTTATGCACGGATACAAATGAAAGTGTTAGTAGTATAAATGAAGTAATTGAAGTTGAAGATTTAGATGCATATGAGGAGACAAATTTTGAACATGCAACTTATGATGATTGAGCTTTCAGAGATGCACCAATTAGGCATGAATTTTAGTTTTGAGTTTTCGAAAGACAACTTTTGAGCATTGTATGGAGCAATAAATGGTGTATCATACTATCATGTTTGTTTAATTATGATGTCTTATATTTTCACACTTTTTTTTAATCAAATAGTGTTTATTATAAATTGATATAGCTTATATAAATATATAATTGAATATTAAATATTACTTACATATCATAAATAGGTGGTACAAATTTGTTCTTAACAATATATTATTTTTTCATGAAATAACTTTCTACAAAGAAAATAACAAAATATTTCAAATAATCTAGAATATTACCAAAAAATGGTTAGTTAATTAAATATTGAGGTGTTTATTTTATATTTCATAATGAATATTTTTAAACCGCACTTACTATATTATTATTACACCATTTATGTCATATTTAAATTAATTTATAATTTATTGTGTCATTCCCTTGAATACCATCTTCAACCTTGGTTCAACATTTAAACTTTGAACCTCTCACTTTATCGTTTCAATCTCTGATCCGGTTCTCACATCCTTGATGAGATACATATGTAAAAACTATTTTGCTTTATATGTATGAAGGACATTTACATATATAAGACCAAATTGTTACATATTTACATATCTAAATTTTAAATTTTGCTTTTTATTTGTACCACCCAAGTCTTTTATATCACATAAAAATATCATCTTTATGTCATATAAGGGCATTTATCATCTTTAGAAAGCTTGATTCAAACATTAGGTTGAAATCTTGGTTTTAAAGTGATCTTTACATTAGCTCTTTCTATTAGTTCTTTGAATGAAGAGCTGTGAACTAAATTCTTTCCTTCGCTGTGAACCAAATTCTTTCCTTCTAATTAGTAAAAAGGCATATTTCAATTTAAAAAAAATAAAATTAAAATATTTTTATATGTGATATGAACCAAAAAAAAAAAAGAAAAATTGTATAAACTTTTTGCTCAAATAAAATCAAAAGAGACATCTTTTTACATTACATGATGTTAAGCAAATGTTTCAAAAAATGATTGAAAGTGTTGTGATTTTGGGTCTTTATATTTCATATAAATGTGTTTATCAGATGATACTGAATAAAATGGATTTTTAAGTTCCTCACCCTTATAAGAACCTTCACTGCAATATGTTTTTCAATATCATTAAGCTCCAATTTCAAAAAAATTAACATTTTGATAAGGTGAATCCATTATATCAAAAGTGGTCTGATTCAAGTTCAAGTGAATCTGAATCGAGATCCTTAAACTATGATTGAATTTTTGTTAAACTAAAATGAAGAACCAAATACTCTCCAAATATTATGAGAGAAATCTAACAAGCATAAACCCACTAATTTATGAAGTTATTAATGCAGTTAAATGCTGGGAGATTAATTTTAATCAAATGTGTCAACATGAGTTATCTAATGGAGTATTTTTTCGATTTTTGATAGATTTATCATAATTCAATAATAAAAAATTATAATTAACCCTTCATTCTCCATATACATGGGACCAAAACTTGAATTGAGGAGAAAAGGAGTTCCAGATTTTAACATCTAACTTTGATTTGGATGATATATATATATATATATATATATATATAAGTCGAATTGAGTTTGACTGTTAAATATGTGAATACATTAGCATACATATTCAATACACTTGATTATTGACATACTTTTCATTACGTAAATCTGCACATTTATATGTGTAATCTTTCGTTGAACAGAATTCTCATACCAACTTCTTGGTGTGACTTTGCGAGGTAAATTCAAACGTGGTTAAAGAGTTAGATGATCGTGGAGCTACCATTGGAACAGACAAAATGGACGATATACCAAAATCTGCTACCAAGCCCTCTCCAAAAAAAAAAAAAAAAAAAGCTAGAGACAGAGAGAGAGAAGTAATCATCTAGAACAAACATCCTGAAAACAAGTAAAAAAAAAAAAAAAAAAAAAAAAAAAGTAGAGAAGAGAGAGAAGTAATCACTAGAACAAACATCCTGAAAACAAGACACACAAGAGAGTAGTAATCATGAAGTACAGATATCCTGAAAACAAGAACTACAACCAAATCAACAAAACACATCTAAGGATTAGAAATCCAAATGGTGATTACTAAAACCTTGAGTAAAATCAAAGCAGAGCAATACTGCTCCCCCCACCTGGAGGCTTCCTCACCCCTCCGAAGTAGTCACGAGGGGCAGTCTTCACATCAGCAAATATATCGCTGCCGCTCATCTCCTTCAGCTTTGCAGAGCTCAGCGGCTTCTCCCCCCACGCCGGCGGCGCCTCATATCTAATGCCTAAACTTCATTTTTTTACATACATTCTATGGATAAAAAAGAATGTTTCACTTTCTAAGGAGAAAATATTACATCATAACTCCAGACGTAATTTGCGTTCGGAGTCCAATGATGGGACGTCATGTATCAAGTAAATCCACCGTAATACACCGGGATTGGTCAATGTTAAAATTTGTGGGGCCAACCTATCTCCGGAGTCCTGATGTAATATTTTTTTCCTTTTTAAGGGGGTGTTTAGCTAGAAGCAGAATTGAGCGTTAGTAGGATTTAGTAAATCCATAAATCTTAAATTCATTAAATCCACCCTCCCGCTAGATTTAGTAAAATCCAGCATTGGCCATTTGTTGTATTCATCATATTTATTTCCCTCCAATAACTTGAAAAGTGGACTACATAACATCGAAATATTTTTCATAGCTGGTATGACTATAAGCATGGGTCATGCCCAAGTTTTTCCCAATGAAACTGTCAAATCAAATTGAACCCAAGAGAAAATAAAATTAAACCAAATCAATTCAAACCATTAGTTTTTGGTTTCCATCTCAATGCAATCATCAGTTTTGCCCAAATGAGTATATTACAAAGGAGTTCAAAACCAATCATAACAACACCTGACCAGATGTGTCCAAAAATCTGTAATATATCAAATTTATGCATTTTGACTGTGACATAAAGTGAAAAGGGATGTTAAAAGGCGTTCAGTGTCATCACTAGAAATGGAAACTCATGGGGTAACTTCTCATGAAAGGTATAGAGACACTAAAAAGGAATCCCGAGTAAAAAAGCAAACAGAAAGCATGCAATAATTTTTTTAGATGTGCAAACAATAGAACCAAGTATCATATAAGCTTTCTGGGTAAAAAAAAATCAAAAACTAGAAAGACTATTCAAAATTAGTTTTACATCTGTGGCAACTTTGCAGAGCACTTCATGAAAGACTAATAAAACATTAAAGGAATAAGGATAGTAGCAAATAGATAAAAATTGGGAAATTTACACACACCACACAATTCTTACGTTTTTACATATCTAACACCCAAAGTTTGATACTTATCCTTACAACACGTCGGTGTCATAAATCTATGAATGAAAAGGTGTATTTCACTTTTAAAACGATAGTGTTAAGATGGTGGCCTAACGTATGTGATGTTAAGAATTTGGGTGGTTTGCGTACAAAGATATGTAAAAATATAAGAATTGTATGGTATGTATGTAAAAGCCCCATTAATAAAATAAAATAAAATAATCATGATACTTACATTAGACACCTTTACTGATGTATGTATGCTGCGCGGTGCGGGTTCACCAAAGTCCAGTTGTCCCTTCAATTCCAAATTCCGTGCAGCCAAAGGCCTGGGAGGATTCTCAGGTGGAGGACCGAATATGTCATGCCCGCTAAGTTCTTTGTTTTTTGCATCAGATAGTTGTTTCTTCACTTTAGCATCGGCTTCACTCTCAAGTGTTCCACTTAATTCTCGCTGCTTAGCTACCTCTGGAATTGAGGTTGGTTTCTTTGGGGAAACACCCTCCTCAGCACTAAAGGAAATTTGACTGATGCCGCTTGTTACTTGCTGAAGAAACAAAAGCATTCAATTTCAGTATAGAAAATTCACTGGAAGGTATTGCGTGTCTTATGTGTGTTCCCATCTAAGAAAATAATATCCAATTTTTACTCGCTGGGTTTCATAGAAATGTCACTAAGCCCATTAAATAAAAATTATCGGCATTTACATACATAGCGCACAATTCTTATGTATTTACATATCTCGCAACTAAACATTCATATTTACATGCATAAATAGCAACAAATCTTTAATATCACATACAACATAGCACTATTATCACTTTTTAAAAGTGAAATACATTTAGTTTAAAACACCAAAATGCTATACATGTAAATATGAAAGTTCAGATGTGTGATATTTAAATACATAAGAATTGTGTGCTACGTGAATAAATTTCACTAAAAATTAATGGAGAAAGTCTGTAAAATCTTTCATACAAAGGGAAGAAATTATAGCTCTCTGCTTCAGTCGTATTTGAAAAGCATTTTATTCCAAAATAATAAATTCTTCAACTATGGCGAATTCTAGATGAAACAGAATTTTTTTTTCTTTTCAAGAATGCAAATATATTTAGAATGATAGCATGTATAGTGCATAAAATGGATTATTCTGCTCTAAATTTGCCCATAATATCATTTCATAAGTATCAAATCTAAATAGCCTCACAGAAATCTTTACAAACTTATCACAAATACTCTAGTAGAAAGCCCAATTCCTCATCGATTCCTTCTTCCATCCTAATCTCCCTCATATTTTCACTCTATTCATTGTCTTCTGTCTTCATCATTTCCAACCACCCTAGCAGCACAACTGACAATGGAACTAGGACTACAAAGACTTTAATAAACCTATGTAGCCTGTTGGTAAATTCCAACCTTGGCCACTAATTCCGCATTGTTAATCAATGACCCTCAACTCCTACGCTCCTTCTCTCTAAACATTCTCTCTCCATCCTTTTCCTCTTCCAAGCTAACTCTTACATAAATTTTCAAATGGCTTTTATTTTTACCCCACTTTTGTTTATATTTACGTGTAACTTATAGTTTATTGTTATTCTTATGCACCTTTATAGAAATTCTCTCCTGCCCTGCTCATGTCATACTTGTGAAAATTTTTTAGTGCACTTTTAATTTTGAAATGATAATATGGTCATTAGAAAATAGTTTGAAATCTCATGCCTCAATTATTTCTCTGGTTTTAAATAGAAAATAATAGAATTGATTTACTGTATGATAGACGGATTACCTGATAAATTCTTACAGATGTTCTACTAGTAGGATTTGACACGGAACTACCAGACTCCGATACATCATCTTCGTAATCAGCTCCAAAGATGCCACTACCGGTCATCTCTTTTAACTTAGGACCAGAGCAAGGTTTCCTGTTAATCCACAAACAAAATGTTAGAGCACGTAAGAAGCACTGAACAGCAATTTATTAGTAAGAATGTACCAAAACAAACCC